CAGACTCACTGATCAATGCGATTCGCCGCATTGTAGCGCGTAGAGGGCCGATTCTTAGAATAAGGAGCGATTTGGGCACGAACATGGTGGGGGCCAACAATGAGCTACGGGCTGAGCTTGAGAGGTTAGATGTAAGTATGCTGCAGCAGTTCGCTCTGTCCAAAGGGATTGAGTGGATCTTCAATCCACCTGCTGCGTCTCACTTTGGGGGATGCTGGGAGCGATGTATCCGAACGTTTAGGAAGGTTTGGAGGTCTATGCCGACTCAGAGACTTGACGACGAGGGACTGAGCACGCTTTTCTGTGAGATTGAGTCAGTGCTTAACAGTAGACCGCTGACGCACGTTTCCGATGACAACGGGAACCTTGAGCCGCTCACGCCCAACCACCTGCTGCTCTTACGAGGCGGCGGTGAAGGCATACCAGGTAGGTTTGCTGACGAGCAGTTCTCCGCCAAGCAGTGGAGAAGGGTCCAGTACCTCGCTGACCAGTTTTGGCTCAGATGGAGGCGCGAGTACTTGCCGACCTTACAGCGGCGCCAGAGGTGGGTATCTAAGTCTAGGAACGTAGAGCAAGGAGACGTCGTGTTACTGATAGATGAGGATGTGCCGAGAGGTCATTGGCGCATGGGCAAGGTGACGCAGACGTTTCCGAGCAAGGACGGTTTGGTGAGAAAGGTGTCCCTGAGAACTGGTGGCACGGTTTTGACGCGGCCGGTGCATAAGCTGATAGTCCTGCTGCCGACTGCTGACCGGAGCCTGAGCTAGGCTGCGATTGTCTGGAGCCGACTGCGGCTCAGGCCTGAGTTACCGAGTGTTGTCGCGGCGCGGTGATAGTTAAGTGTTTTATTCGGTGTTTAGTGTTAAGTGATGAGTGTTGGGTGTCCTCAACCCTGTCGGTTGAGCGGGGGCAGTGTTGGCGCCGTTGTCGCCTAACGATGCTAACTTTTAGTTGTCTGGGCGTTCGACAGATGGCGGTGTGGTTTTCGGTTGTCCGTTTGCTATCGATTTATTGATATGTTTATTTTTTGATTTGGTGCCTTGTGTCTTTTGGTTTATTTTAGGTATCGATTTGTAATTTAGTTTTGTATTGTGTTTCGCGGTCATAAGTTATTTGGGTTTTGTTCGATGTACCGTTTTGTTGGTACTGACCGGTGACCTCTACGGTCACGTGACCCGCCACGTCACCCTTCTGGGTCAGCGGAGGGGCGGCCGGCGGGGCAGCGCCCATTCTTGGTTGGCCAGTCGCGGCGGCGTTAGCGTGCCGCGTATCTGATGGGTTTGGTTGGTCGTGTTTGGCTTGGTTCAGCCGTTCGACGTTTGGAGTACAAGGGCGCACCGTGTAGGTGAGTGAGCGATTTTGACCTCGGAAATTAGTTCATGTTGGTGAGATTGTTTGCCGATTTTGTTTTCTTTACTTTGTTATGTCTGCGTATTCGTTTGGTTGGTGTGCATTTGGTCATATGTTAAGTTTCTTTTGTTTCGATTCCAGAAACCGCTACGTTCTGTTCCGTTCTGTTGCTGTGCTCTACGGGCAATATATGGTCAGCACAGACGGAGCTAGCGCGTTTTACTACCGGTCGGCGCGAGATCCGGGGCGCTGAGGTCGTCGGCGGCTACACGCCGTTCCCGCCCCCGCCACAGCAGAAGCAGCGCGGCGACAGAGGCGGCGGCCATCGCCACCACCACCACCGCCACCGCCGCCGCCGGCGCCGCCCCCGCCGCCGCCGCCACAACAGCAGCAGCGGCGTCTGAAACGGCGGCGGCCATCACCACCACCACCACCACCACCACCACCACCACCACCACCACCGCCGCCGCCGGCACCGCCGCCACGACCGCCGCCAAAGCTGCCACCCCCACCGCCACAGCAGCAGCCCATTCGGCACTTCCGGCTGCCGGAAATTAACGTTCAAGCGAACAACTATATGGAACTGGTTAACGTGCAGCGAGCGGTTGACGAGGGCCGAGACATTGAGCCCCCTTGTGTACGACACATGAGCGAGGATGAGTTGCGCGACTTTCTACAGACTCCCCTTAAAACGGGGGTCCCCTGCCAGACCCAATCCACCGAAAGGGCTGTAAAGCTGACCACCGAATCAGTCACAGCTGTAACAGGCGCAGACCGACAGGACGGCTACGCTCTGAACAAACGGGCCTACCGAAACAAGATGAAAAAGTAGCATTAGCTTCATCCATGTGTCGACGTGTCGTACACAAGGTATGTTAGTCACTTTGTTCTCATGTCACCCGACTACATAGTGTGAATAAACTTCATATCAACAGTGAACGCAGTGTCATAATATGTTACTCAGATCAATCCACCTACGTTCCTCGCTATTGTAAATGGCTCCCGAGCGCACTCCACTATTTCGCCAATTCACGATAGTCATTTATCCAATTCAACATTAGGTCTAAAATATGTCTGAAGTAACATAAAAATGAAGTGAACATTTCTGTCGTGCTTTGATAGACGTAGCATAACGACCACGACGGTCGCAAGTGACCGCCGGGGCTGTGAACGGCACGGCAACGACCGGCCGGCGGGCGGCTACGCCAGCGCCATCTATGGAGAGAATCGGGTAACTAACGCAAACCTTCCGAGCCTTATGCTTTCCTGCGAGGCCGGTGAAGCAGGCGGCGTGCCGATTTCGACGCCGCTGTATGCCGAATCGACTGGTACATGCATTTAGCGATACATTGTTAATATTTTTTCATTACATTCATCATATTATTCAAAAACATGCAAAAATTGAGAAAACCGGAAATATTCAAAGAGCCGGGGCGGTCAAAAAAATTCGAATTTTTTATTTTTTCCGCCGGATTCGTGATCAGCACCCCCAAATACATTAGATTAGACCTGGGGAGCAAAACTTTTCGAAACTTTTTGCAAAACCGGTCACCCTAACGTGCAGTCATAACACCACACCGTTACTCGGTGACGGGCGACGGCCACTCACTGAGCTCGTATATCAGCGGCCTGTCCGTGCTGCCGCTGCTCACCGTATATCTCCAGTACTGTGACCGTCCGTCCCAGGTCAGGCAGGTGACTGATGGTGTCGGCAGCCACCCCCTGGAGCGACACTGACAGACCACTCCTGTACGATTTCGGCCGGAATGGAAACCACGGTTTCCATTCCGGCCACCTCGGCTCCGTCACCTCCGGCCCTGTCGGACAGAGCTGTGTCAGCTGACTGCAGTCGGACAGAGCTGCCGCCAGCTCCCCGCTGCACCACTGACACCAGAGTGTCAGACACTGACACAGCCAGCACTGACATAGCCGAGCGGCCTCACGGCAATTTTAAGCATCAGCAGTCATATGTAGAATGTGAATATGCAGAGGCGGATCCAGCTCACAGTTTTTTTAGGGGGGGGGGCAAACCATAACAATTGTCAATTTATCGATTCTTTCCATGCCTCGTCCATAGGCGTAATGTTAAAATTATGCCGTTTAGGAGGGGCAAATGCCCATTTTGCCCTCCCCCTGGATCCGCCACTGTGAATATGAACATCATAAGTAGATGCGATCAGTATATGCGTAATACAGTAGTCTATGAAACTACTTATGCTACTCTTATTGGTTGCACTATGTCTATAATCATTCCTCATTGGAACAACTGCTCACTAATTGTAACAATGCCTGCATTCCCGTGCTGGCCGCCTTCGATCGTGGCGCCACCTATACTCTGTATAACGCCGCGCCAGGGCCGCGGCCAGTCAGTCTCGTCAGTCTGCTCAGACTCGGTCAGCGAGCTCTCTATTTAGTCAGTCAATGGCAGTCGTGGTGTCAGACTCCAGGGAGACACCGGTTGGTCATGTGACTCGGAAACAAAAATCAGCTGATAGAGTGGCGGAATTGCCGTAATCAAACACGAATAATTCCGGACGATAGAGCGGCAGTATAGGAGTTATCTTCGCAACAGGCAAACATTGCAATGTTTTATCATTCCATGATCAAGAAACGTTCATAAATCATATATTTCTTCGATGATTACTGCCGCAACCGACACGCACGCACATATCGTAGTCAGCGCATAAAGATATGCTTTGCGATATTAAATGTAAAGAAAAGCATTCTATATCTTGCTTCAACCTTCTACTTACGCTTTTATAATTACGACAGCGACACCATACGGCCTATCGACGCCACGCAACTCCATGGAGTTTCCGGCCACACTCTGCCGAGTGTGCCGAGATCAGAGGCGGACCATCCAGGGCACGTCCAGCTGCACTGCCCGGTCGCTGGGAGGGCGACACCTAGCGCCGCTCTGGCCGCTCGCTTCCGCGACAACTTAGCTACCTGGCTACGCCTATGGGAGGGGAGGGAGAAAACCAACAACAGTCTGATGAGCCAATGGAGTCTGCGAGCCGCGCCAATCAGCGCCCTTCCGCGCGCAGACGGGAGCTAGAGCTATTCATCTCCTTTCCTGTTTTCGCTGGTCCGCCAGTCACCAGCATCGTTCCGTGCTCTCCATCGTCGCGATTCGGCCGTGTTGTCGTTTGTGCGTCAGCAACAACAGTGAGAGAGAGGGAGAGAGAGAGAGAGAGAGAGAGAGAGAGAGAGAGAGAGAGAGAGAGAGAGAGAGAGAGAGAGAGAGAGAGAGAGAGAGAGAGAGAGAGAGAGTCTCGGATCACGCCAGACAAGACCAACATGGGTATAGATACCCAGTCAAGCAGCCGTACCATGAGTCAAAAGCGATATGTGAATTAAAGTGGATATATTTCACTATTTTTTCAGTTTTATCATACAGATCACAGAAATGCGTCAAATACTGATCACAGCCGGTTCCAAACAACTAAACGCCTGCGATCACTGGAAAGTAAATTAAATTTTTAATTTACTTTCCAGTGATCGCAGGCGTTTAGTTGTTTGGAACCGGCTGTGATCAGTATTTGACGCATTTCTGTGATCTGTATGATAAAACTGAAAAAATAGTGAAATATATCCACTTTAATTCACATATCGCTTTTGACTCATGGTACGGCTGCTTGACTTTGCCACAGCGTACATAGTACATACACAGCCGATCTCGGCATGTTTCTGTTCCAGAACAGCAGCTGCAGTGGACACCAAAAATTCATTCATGTTCTGACAACTTATTCCAAAGATACACATTTTACGACGAACGTTCCAGAGAAAGTATTTTCTCGCTCACAGATGCTCAGCAAGAAGCGCGCGATTGATTGCAACTAGCACGCTCACGATTTCTAATATAGCGCTGGCCAAAACCTTCCCCTTACATCCAAATATAATAATCTTAATTCCAGTCTCTGTCCTATTTATTACTTATTAGCGCATCGAGAGTGAATGATACCACGGCATAGCCGTCATATTACATAGCACAAATTGCGAGACGACGTCGAGACCCGTATCGGCGTATCCTTCACATCCGGGTGTCTCGCCTCCACTCTCAATCGACCCTGACACACCATCAACCGAGCCACGTCGGCTCCGACCATCTTGATCCCCGCACTGAAATCTGATGGCCGGCCCGTAATTTCATCCTATCCGTCAGCGCGCACTACACCCGAGCTCAGCCTAAAGTGCACTGTGCGGCCTTCTCCGGATGACGCCTCTGAGCATGGCGCTTGACTTGCACCTGGATGCATAGAGCCTCTTGTTCGTGTACGGCCATTATCATTTCAGGAATCGGATGGTCTCGGCGGTGGCGGCGCTGGTCACCGTGGAGCCGTTGAAGACACAGTCAGCTCGAGCACCCGCGACCAGTGACCTGTAAAGCAGCGAGTCGCGGCACATCACGACGACCGTCACGTTTCAGTCACGAAGGCCGTTATAGAAGTCACGGCGGCCGTCATATGCCAGCCGCGGCGACCATCACATAGCAGTCACGGTGACCGTCACAGGTCACGACGGTAGTCAAATACCACTACGAGCCATGGCGACCACGACTCATAGCTCATGATTAACGTTTCCTGTCGCACACTCAGCTATAATAACATTACATTAGCCTGTACACACATTTCCACTCGAGAAATCGAAATCCGAACCTGAGACCCATCATACGTCACGACACTTGCAGCGGCACCTGCATTAGCAGACATCCCATCCCGACAACACAAAAAGTTCCCCCAAGCCACCCACCTATAGGTGAGTGGTCCTTATAAGGACGCAGCGACGGGTTACACAATGCCATTACATCACCAACGTCACTGACCTAGTGACGTGGTGGGATACAGCCTGACCTGTGGACGCCTTGGACTGGTCCACACAGTTACTGACCTGGAGATGATGTGATGGTTTCTGGACAACGTGGCTGGATACACGCACCACGTGGCTGGCCATCACAATGCTACTTCCTGCAGGTGACGTCCTACAGATGGATCGAACCGTTGTCTCCAGAACCACCGCCAGCAACGAGCCTGGTGGAGGATAATGTGTTCAGAACTCAGAAACCACAAAGCATAGTTACCTGCAATACAAATGACAAAGCCGGCCACAGGCACACAATGGCGAACTTTTATGCTAAGACTTGGTTTCATCGGTACACAAGATTGCAAACGTCCATGATGAAAATCAAATCACATATCTAGCAAGCAAATAAATACCTGAGAAAGCAGTCCACAGAACTTGTTTAATTATCTAGGAGCTTATATCTCTGTATTCCACACACGGTGAGCAGACAAGCCTCTGCCACGCCATACCTTCTTTGCCCCATATCAGTGAGCAGCTGATGTAGTCTGCCTGATTTTCGACATGTGTGAGGCTGGCGATGATTGCGTCTGCAGCGTTCCACGCGTAAGCCAACCTGCCGAGAGCCATGCCAGCTAGTTGGAGGAGCTTCAGTTCAGCTAGCAAGTGTAGGTAGTAGCCATCCAGCAAGTCTGGCAGGAGGCACTTTCACCAACTTCTCAGGCGTTGACGAGATGGAGTGCCTGGGGTGTGTGCGCACCAAAAAGCAGCAACTGTATGCGCAGAACATTGGCGTAACCTGGATGAATGAAAGACAGAGGGAGTCAGGAGTACAGGGGTGGACAACTGATATAGGCGAGGGGAGCACTGGAGACTATAGTTCGACAACTCTGAGAAAGAACGAAGCTTAGCCTAAGGTGCCTCAAAGCACTTAACACATGCATTGAACATTGGATAGCCTACCTGCGCTTAAATTTGACTGAAATCATCTCAGGCGTATTGGAACTTGGAAGTGTATTTACTATTTAGGGCCTTGTTGGAAGTTATCTTCAGAGACATGTGCATCAATAACTATTGCACTTCAAAGCTGTTCTTTCTTAGCACCTAGCTTTGTCAGACTAAGACCATATGAAAGCCATCTGCAGCACAAATGGATGGAACAATAGCCTGAGGTTGACTGGTATAAGTCACATTTATGAGGATCCACATTGAAGAAATTGTGATAAATGGCCTTTCCCTCCTCATTGGAAGGAAGATGATGGTGACCCTGCCACTTTTTTCTACTAAGGAAAAGAATCAAACAAATTACAAAATGAATAAAGCTTATCACTAATGGATTTACAAACTGTCACCTAAGTTAAAACATGCTGTCTACAACACAACAGTGAATGAAAGCAAGTTTACCCAACCCACAACCAACATTGCAGTTTCTGCGGGCGCCTGCGGGTAGTGCCTATCCTTTGTTGCAAAAACAAAATGCGTGCATATGCCCACTCATGCGACATCTGCCTTACTAATGTGACAATGGCCTGGGCTGGCACCCTGGTGAGTTGCTAAAGCTGGGCCCATCCAGTGGACAGGCCACTCATCCCCCTGACACTCACCGCAACCGGCTACGGGAGTGCTCTAGTCCTATACGGGAGCTAACCACGAGATAAAGTTGTCCGTCCAGCCCAGAACAAGATGTTGTGGCGGCATGGAAAAGGATTTGACTATTCCGAGGATGAAATTGACGGAACGGGGGGAGGAGGAGCGTCACAAAATGACTAGGCCCTGGGCAGGGGCCAAGGGATTTATACAGCTTTGGGGTAGAATACCTCCATACCTACATGATTGAAGTCTAATTGTTACAAGACAATTGACAAACAAATAATAGCAACATCAACTACATACCTTTGTCCCGGTTTTTGAATCTCAATTAAACCGTTTAAACCAAGGAAAAGAAGATAAAATACAAAATCAGCCAGCCTAGCACTGATGTGATAACCTCTCAAGATAAAATATAGGTTATAAAAGTAGGTACCTACTACCTACCTTTCATTATCAGTCCCGTCAACCTATCTACAGCATTTTTGTCAAAATGAAATCTAAAATCAGAAAAATCTTGTCCAAAATAACGTGCAAAATACAACAGCATACACGGCAAGTATATACGGCATTATCTACAAGTTAAGAAAGTGTTCTCTGTTAGCGAATAAAACGCCGTTCGACCAATCCATTGCCAACGCTTGCGTCTGCTAGCGACAAATGTCTGTTAGCAGCATTTACTGCGCGCAACTGCGGGTGTGTAATCATGATCGGCAGTTTTCAATACAAAGTTTTGTAAAGTTGCAACGTTTATTTTGTTTCACAACTGATACCAATAGATAGAAAATTTAATTTTATTTAGTGTATTATTCGAAATAGACCCCAACTCAGTCTCGTTTCTGAGTATTTTGCCATTAAGTGTCACAGTGTGACCTTTAGCAGCAAGAAACCTAGTACATTCTAGACAAAAAAATATACAATACAACACCACAACTGCAATAAAACATGCATATTAGGAAAGAACACGAAATTTTCATTTTGTTGAAGTCATTTTGCAAGCCCACTCTTGACATATTTACCAACTATCAATGTTTTTGTTCAGAACTGTTCAGTACCTTAAATTCTAAGTTTTAGATTCGGAAGCGAATTGGTTAAAGTTCCAACGTTTGTTTCGTTTTAGTATTTTGATATATTATAGTGTATGCAATTTTGTATATATTGGTATTTTTTTTTAGACCCCAACTCGATTTCGTTTTTTGGAAATATTATATTTAGTGCAGCATCGTGACCATGGACAACAATGGTGGCTATGTAATTAACGTCAATTAAATGCAGTTTGCAACATTAAAAAGGCAACGAGACACCCAAAATCTGAAAGATAATTTAATTTTGATATTTATTGACCATGATTTAAGCCCCAACTCACTGAAATTACTCGACAATTCATGGTAGAGCATTGGCAGGTCCGGTAGGCTGAGCAGCTCAGAACCATGATAATTTCGAAATTCAACAAAAGGGAGTTGGCCTTTGATATTACTTTTTGTCCTTTAATTTTAAATTTTGATTGTAAAAAATCAATTTTGTCAATGAACAATGCTTGCAACTTAAGATATATAATTTTTGAAATGGCGGAGATAGCCAACAATTTATTTTCGTTAACGCTTCGCAGATTCACACGTGGCGTGCTCTCTGATCATAAATCAAAAATATATATACAAATAATAAAACTCATTGGAATTTGTTGCTTAGTTCTCCTTTTTAGACTTAAAGGGTCAGCTGAAAATAGTGGTCAAAATACCTTAGTGTTGTAATTTCGAACCGGTTTTACCTAGTTCTCTATATACCGTGTCAGACTCATTACTTTTGTTTTGAACTTAATCGCTTGTGACAAATGACAATGCAACTATTCCTAGTACCTACCTCAACTTTTAAATCACCCCGCGACGTTACACTAATATTCCATGCATGCGCCACAAGCATGTGCACCCTATGCAAGTGACCTCCCTCCCCCCCCCCCCACACACACCATACAATAACCCGCGCCCCACTGGGGGGGGGCTATTTATAGCCCCCCCCCCTCCCGTTTTTCTGCAATAACTTCCAAACCGCTTGACGTATTGACACCAAACTTTCAGTACCTTCGGCTGCATCAATTTGACACCTTGTGTCAAAATTTGAACTTCGTAGCTACCATAGGTCGGCTGGAAATGACGTCAGAGTGACGTCATGTTCGGCCGATTTCGCCGCAAAACATTGAACCACGGCAATCGCTCCCAAGGGCTCAGTTTTTAAGCTAGATCCAATTTCTTTGCATGAGAGGACTCAGAATCGACTGCGCTATCAAACTGCTATCTCGGATTTTCGAAATTTTGAAAATTTTGAAAATTCTTTAAAATAAAACTCAAAATTTACATTTTTATATTTTTTACAAAAAGTTTTTGACTTTTCGAAAAAAAAAACGGAATATATGTGATAGAACACGTTATTATGAATAACTCTAGCAAGTTTTAGCTAAATATCTTTAAAAATAGCTAAGTTATACGCATTATTGCAAAAAATTCACAATTATCAATTTTTCAAATCAATTTTTCACCACGTATTTGACATCGTACGCCAATATAAATAGCACCATCATGTTCCTGAGCTCAAACTGCATCCAATAGTCACCTTTTCTGTTGAACAATTATAACTTCAAAATTTGACCTTTTTTGACCTGAAAGTGACCTGACCTAAGCTAAAATCGACTCAAAATGACCTCGAATGACACAGACGACATCAAATTCGAAATCTTTGGCCTAAATGAACCATAAAACATGTGTCACGTGACCGACACATGATATAATATTTTCGTGACCTGTGATGACCTGACCTTGACCTGAAAATCAAAGTACAAGTTTGGTACCCTCAGGGTATCTAGAGCATCTGTTCACGAGTGTGTGAACCAAAAATGAGCCTGATCTGACTTGTGAGACGGCGGCCAGAGCCCAAAACGTGAACAAGTCAAAATGCTAATAATTTTTACTTTGACCTGACCTGTGACGTCATCGGTGACCTCGAGGTCAATGAAATTAGGTTTCGCTCGACAGTTTTTCCGGGGCTATCAGACGCCGTTTGAATTTTGACGATCGGCCCAGTAGTTTCGGAGTTAGGAGGGGGGGGCTATGAATAGCCCCCCCCCCACCCAGTAGGGCGTGTTATACGCAGACCCCAGTGGGGCGCGGGATAACGTACACGATCAGCGCTGGAACTTGCTAGTTCAGGTTGATCAGTTCGTCCATTTGCCTTCTCCGCTGTCAATTTGCATAAGGGTCATTCCATGTGTGATCTGCGTTATCTCACCTCTGACATTGAGGCGCCTGAGGCCCTCCGGCAGCTGCCCCCTCAGTTGCGGGAGGTCGGCGGCGGAGACTGACAGCCGATCCACAGTCTCCCGTGAGCTCCGCAGCTCCGTCAGCTCGCTGTCACCGACTCCGGCCGGAAGGATGACAGTGTTTGGGCCCACCCTGATGATGGCACCACGAAGTTGACTTGGAATAGTAGTCATTTGTGCTGGAAAGGTGATCGAACCAATGTCAGGCATTAGTCTAGCTCAAACATAAGTGTAGGGTGAAGTCGTATAAGAGTACGCACTTAGTGGATTCCTTGCTCTCATTTGTTTAATAAGTTGAAGGAAAGAAATCGCAAATAGGGAAAATTAAAGTTCATTGAATTAGCCATCAACCCATGGGGCAACGATCCTTCAGCGTAAATGGAAGTGGTCTAAAACTGACATTTTCTGAACCGTTGCACTTGCGTACTCTTACCATATGGGGTGTGTAAGAGTACGCACGCCAGGCGGGTGGAGTACGCAAGCATATGAACACACACCTATGCAGCTTGCACTGTCCAAATGCTTAACTTCAAACTCAGAAGGCATTTCAGTTAATTCTAGTATCCAAAAAGAAAAACATAAAATAAATATTTCAAGTCTATAAATCAGGAAATAATCATGTCGTGTGTTTCTTAAAAAAATGCACAATCAAAAAGGAGAATAACTCGTATTTGGAAGAATTTCGGGTACGCATCTGCATCACAGTGCTCCATTGATGATATACCTACAAAACAAACGTCATTGAGCGATAGATTAATAATTCTATATTTCTGTATATTCGATTTAATGTAAAATTCTGCGTACTCTTACCCTCCTGAACAGTGCGTCCTCTTACCGTACATGCAATTCGCGCACAAAACAACCCCGAAACGTTGTGCAAAACTTCGCAAACAGAATATTGCACTGTACAGTATTTCCCCAGATAACCTCACAAGTTTCCCACAACAATCACGGAAATGTACCTTATCTCAACTGCCAAGTATCAAAATTATTGTACCATATCATCAAATAATATCATAACGCTCGAGAATAATATTCATCGCCTTAAACTCAACAGCGTCGCCGCTCAACGCCCACGTTCCGTTGGTGACATGCACGCACTGGCGGCTTCATGTCACTTCATGAACTCGACAAACCCGCGTTGCTAAGCAACCGAAACAGCTGATGCGTACTCTTATCGCCCGCGTACTCTTACCCGCCCTTACCCTACACTTACCTACAGTACAGGTGTAGCAAACACAAAGTGGAAACTGTTTGTGGCTACAATGCTGTGATAATTCCGTGTTTGAGTGAATATGTACTTTATCAAAACGCTGTGAATTTCATAAATTACGGTGACTTTTCGTAACAGAATAGTCAACGAATAAAATTATAATGGGTCTTTGACACATATAGGTAAAACAAAAATCCCAATTAAATTAGTACATAATATTCCGAACTAGGCATATTCTCATAATGTTAATTGTTCAATCTGACAGCTTTTGAAACCTTTTCACATAGGTATATTTTGTTCAGCTCTAAGGTGAGAGAGGTACGGCCCTCCAGCAAGAGCGTGGTTGGTTAGCCTATGCTTATGGTGCAATAACTTTCAATGACAGAGACACTCCTGTGTAAAATGACTCAATAGAAATGAGAAGAGGGTTCGTGCATACACTTCGACAATGGTTTTCAGCAGTCATAGTACGTATTCATCAATGCAGATCGCTTATTGTGATGTTGGCAACCAACTACTTAATACCTGGAGGGCCGTACTTATTTCAACTTTGTATCGTTATAAATTTTATAGCTAACTATTATGTCCAATAAAGGACCAAATCATTGACCATCACCATCCACCACACGACTTGTCATCCTACGGCTTCGGGCTCACCATGGCTTATGGCTTCCGTCTTACCTTAGGATGAGGCAGCATTACCCAGGGGTAGCCAGTAACAGTTGGTAGCATTAGGCCAAATGGGCGCTCAAAAACTACTACCCCATAGGGTTTCCATGTTAAATCGACCTCTTTCAAGCAAGCCTCACACGTAAGCTAAAAGATAAAGTGTCAATATTATTGTGGGGAAAGGTAGCCTCAAGCTTCCTCTACAACCTTTTTATCTAGCGTTTTTCAATGCGGAGGCCATAACAGGTCCAAAAAGCATTGGGCGCTGCCCGAGGTACCAAAAGCCCCTCCATGAGAGCAAAAGTTCCTGCGCATGCGCACATTGCCTCAACCCTGTACTAGCGTACATTAGTGATACTGCTCACGGACTCGGTCAGCAAATCAGCGTCCCGGAT